TAAGTGTGTTAATTAGACAGCAATATTAACATAGCTAACATAGCAGAACAGAAAAAGTGACTGCAGAAATTATAGTCAGCTATAAGATAAAGCTGACTTCAGCTCACTAAAGCTGACTAAAAATACTTCACTTGAAGTATTTTTTAAAAAAAACATTATTGGGAATTTAAGCGTAGCAGGAAGAGCATCTTCAATATGACTTTTGCTTTATTATTCATTCTAGTGGAAAATTTTTCACATAAACCATTCCTTTTGAACTTATTGTCAGGTTTTTGATTCCTCTATAGGAAACCTTGTGAAGAAAGAGTGAATTTTTTCTTCTGAAAATTCTCCTTTGGTCCTTGGATTTCACATCTGTTCACAATGCATGACTGTTCTAAACAAGTCAGGTGTACGAGAGGAAAAAAGCCAGTTGCTACAGTCCATCAGGGTTGCAAGAGCAGTGTTATCAGTGTATTCAACACAGGCTGCACATATATACTAAAAAAAAAAAGAAAGAAAAAAAACCAAAAAAAACAGGAGAAGGACAACTAGATCAGCTGGCTTACATGATGTATGATGTTCAGATTATGGAAATACTAAAACACAGAAATTCACGCATGTTAAAACAGTTCCTTTCTCAGGTGAGTTTTACAGAGAAATTCAGGCTTTATCCTCTGCTTGCGCTGTTGCTATGAGACTTGTAGCTGAAAAGGCAGCTTTTAATGGTCAAGATGAGCATCACTGATGTGAACTGAGGCTCACCTTAGTAACATGTAATAGGGGCACTCTGCTGTATAAAATTTGAATTCTGGGAGTCAAGACTGTATGACCATAGGTAACGCTACAGTGGTGTTCGACACGTAAAAGAATCCTGCCTGGGCTAGTTGCAACTGGTACTTTAAACTGTCCTAGTCCCTTCAGAGTTGAGGACAGGAGGGCATAAGCAAAAAGCCCCATTGAGATCTCATTCTGCCTTTCCTTTACTTTTCTTTCTCTGGAGATGGGAGCTCCTGCTTTCAGATCAGTGTATTTAGGGCAGAAGGGAAATGGGAACAGTGAATAGTCTAGCATGCTTGCAGGGACAGTTTTGTTTGCTTGATTATATCTAAAACACTTGCTTTAGGGAATTTTTATTATATATATCTTTTAATGTAGTAAGCACAGAAAACGCAACTGTTGAAGAGGAATTTCTTTCTCCAATCATAAACAATGAATTAAGCTGGAATGTAAGAGAAGTTGCATTTTAGCAATCTCTACTACATAGACATTGCTAGCAAGGGGCTGTAAAACTGATCCCATACAAACTAGCTTATAGAACTGGTAAGGCAAACTCAGAGTAGCTGGATCTGCTAGAACAAAGTTCACCTAATAGCAGTTTTACTCCAGGATGAGCCCCTGCCCTTTTCTCTTGCGAAGGCAGGGTAAGCAGTATGTACCATCCTCCAGCATTTCAGATTAACGCAAATACAGCAAGTGATATCAAAGAGAAATTCTAAGAACAGCCCTCACCTCTGGATTCCTAATTGTATTATACATCAGCTGTGCTAAGTAATAGTCATCCCTCCATGAAGGATGACATACGTATTTCCAGATCTGGTTGGAGCAGACTGAGGGTAAAGAGTGATTTGGAGATCTTCAAAACCTGCCTGGCTGCAACCCTGTGGTCCTGTCAGGAGCAAAGAAACTAGGATGTTCAGGTCTTTCTGGGAAATAAAAAGAGGAAAAAAAAAAAAAAAGAGAGAGAGAGAGGTGGAATAACAAAGAACACTGGGATGAAAAAAAAATTATTTCAAAGAAAGACATCATTCATCCATTTGCCCATCTTTCTTAGATATTTCTAAAGTGCCATAGTATCACCGTAGTATCAAAGCACCAGTAGCACAACAGGAAATTGCAGAATTCGCTCAGCTGGCAGGAGAGTCTGGGCAGCATCTGAGGACCCTGAGGACCAAAAGATGGAGTGAGCAAGGGACACTGCTGAAACGACAGCAGCTATTACCTTTATTTTTTTTCCTCTCCAGTAGTCTCTCACTACAGTCCTGAGGGAAAAAATAACCAGTAGAGAAGCCATTAGGCAAGCTGCTGTAGAAGCCAACCTTCCAGTTCTTGAGCTTTTGTACACACCCATGTCTCCATCTTCTCAATCTGGCTTGTGAGTTTGTGCTACCCACAAAGTGATTAAACTCCTGGAAGAAAGGGAACATATTTTATAACTTTTGCAACAGCAAAAAAAGAGTGGTACCCATATCCTCAAGCTAGATGGTCACAAACAGGAAAGGGGTGAGTATCTGGGGAAAGTGAATGATTTGAGCTAAGTGACACTGAACAGGGAAAATGAACACTGGCCGTGAAAAGGAAATCCAGAGATGGTGCAATCAAATCCTAGCAGCTAAGGCTACTGTGTTGGCAATGTGCTGTGAAGCCTAAGGCCACCTTGATTTGGCATACAGTTTTAAACAGGTTCATAGAGATCTTAGAAATAAATGCACATCCATAGTTGTAATTTATAGAGCACTCTTTAGTGCATAAAGCACTTCACAAAGCACACAGAAGGAAAAGATATGCTCTGAAAACTGTTATGAAGTATTTAAAGGCAGTTGGATTCTCAAACCAAAATCTTGATGTAAGGATTTCCCTTGTGAGCTCATGCTCATGTGCAGACCCAGATGTGATTCCCTTTATCTCCTACGATGTTTCATATGTAATTGAGGGCATATGTAATTCATATGTCATTCAGACTCCCCAAAGAAAAGATGCATTCACTGGCTGACTTTCTCAGGCCAGCAGTCTTCTCAGCCAGACATTTGTAGTGCTCTAGATTTCCTTCAGGAAACTTAAACTGGAAAGGGTCAGGCCTATACAAATGGTTCAGTTCTGCAGCTGGACCTCTAGATGACCATTAGACACACTTCCAAAACATTTTCCAGAAGAAAGTTAGAAATCAGGAAGAGACTGTTTTAAGGCCTCCATGAGGGAGGAATGACAGGTGGGGGTTGGGAGGACAGCAACAACAACAAAAAGTAATACCAAGAATGTGTTTTTTCATTTCCAAATGAAGGGTTTGATTCCTGTACAAATCCCACCCCATTTCAGAAAGCTCTATTTCCCTGAGCAGCTTCACACAAACGTGCTTTGTTCCTTTAGGAGGTACAAATATGCTCCCCCTAAAGATTTACTTTTAATATGAAAACAGCATTTTTATCAGCAGTTGAGTGTCAAGAAGTAGCTTGCAGAAAGGAAGCCAGTCCCTTGGAGAGCAGAAAGTTCTGCAGAACTAGCTGCAGAACATGCCATTTACAAGCATCCCTGCCAGCAGCTGCTCAAATCTCTGGATCTCTTTTGCATCTTTATTTCCTTAAAGTTTTTCTCACCCTAGCCCCAGTATGGAGGGCTTCATTATGTACTGCTTTTTTCCAAAGACATACTGAAGCCATAGTGCCAGCTTCAGGACTAGTGAAGTCCATAACAAAATTATAAATCTTTCCTAAGCTCCAGCAATACTGGACAAGCACACGTCAGGTATCATCACTAAAATAAATAGCAGTAAAACAGTCAAAAATAGCAACAATTTAAAGTGTTGCATTGCAATTCCTTGTCATTAAATCCTGAATGAGTGGGGTACGTCCTTCAATTGATGTTGATATGCATGTATGTAAAATGAGGTGGAGAGCTCTGAGTGCCATTTAGAAGTCATTCTTTACAACCAGAGGTGCCACGATTTTGTGTGTGTACACATTTATAAGAACAATTCCAGATCCGACACACTAAGGAATCAGAATAAAACTGAATGTCCTGATATGAAATTTTAAATATTTTTATACAAACATATCTCTTGTAGCTTGTTATTGAAAAGTGCTACTATACACAGTATGTTTAATGCTTTCAGCAGTACTGATATGGTATAGTGTCATACCTTCTTGACCACTGCCAGAGTGTGTGACTGTGAAGATACACTTCTATAAAAGCAAGTCCATACATAGGTGAATACAAACATATAGATGTTATTTACACACACACACACACACACACACATACACTGATCAAAACAGGACTTGGGAAATACTGCTATGGAATCAAGTCATTCTCAGTATGCTCTTGTTCTGTCCCATTTTACAACGCAGGTTAGACCAGGCAACTTGGGCCATACATATGAATCTTAACTCTGCAGAACCAGAAGGCCACACCAGCATAAACTTATGGGAAACTGCACACACTGCCCAAGTTGTGTACCACAGCCTTAGCAGCAGCAAGTGTAATTCTTCTTCTTCTTCTTCTTTTTTTTTTTTAACCTCCAGGTTAGACAGTTTGCTGTATCAATTACCCACCAGTTTCAAGACTTCCAGAGTAAGCCTTGTCCCTATCACACTGTTCCCCCATGCTGTTCCTACCATCCCAGCAGCATTTGCAGTAGCCTTTTGAATGCATTCCTTCCTTCTCTCAGGTTGTGTCTACACTCCCCTTTTGCAAGCAGACTCAAGTGACCTTTGCCTGTGCTCCAAGTTGGCCTACGTACTGTGTGTGCATGATGCAGGCCTTATTTAGCTTTGGCCATCCTGGCCATCATAGCCAGATCACAACACAGCTATGGTGAGCTTCCATAAACCTGTGCAGTATTATATAGGCCACGACATTTCAGCTAGGTGTGCTCCTTAAAGAGACATTCAAGGACCATCCTATTTCTCTTAATGTGGCCACACATGACCAAGACACAGGCATCTTGCCTGACATTTGCTGTTTGGTCACCAAATGGGCACATGCAAGCAGCTTCTCATGTTGCATATTTTCTCCAGGCACCTGTCATGGGAAGGTGGAAGGGAATGCCTGCACTTTGGTCATGTGGCAGAAAAAATGCAAGCACAGTACTTGGGGAAAAAGGATGGCAGGACCCTGGAATCCAGAACTACTGCCCATCTTCTGCCTACGGCTGAAGTGCATTGATAGAAGGAGGTGGCTGAAAGTAGCAACATAGCCCAGAGCTACTCTTCTGGTTCCCTGCCTGAAAGAGCCCAGAGGCCCTGAGCCTGGTACCCTTGGTGTAGACGTGACCTCATCTATACTTCTCCTCCCTTGGGCACATTTTGAACAGGCCTGGATCAGGATCTGCATCCCAGAAGATCCACAGACCACTCCTAGTGATACTGCCTACCAAACATGCACTCGCTGGTGTGAGACTAAATAAGAGTTGCGGCTGAAGCTCTTCCCACACTGGGAACACTTGAAAGGCTTCTCCCCAGTGTGGGTGCGACGGTGACGGATGAGGGTAGAGTTGTCACTGAAACAGGTCCCACACTCGACGCATTTGTAGGGCTTCTCCCCAGTGTGAGTGCGACGGTGTTGGACAAGGTGGGAGCGCTGGCTGAAACTCTTCCCGCAGTCAGGGCACAAGTAAGGCTTCTCGCCAGTGTGGATGCGACGGTGGATGACCAGCTTGGAGCTTTCGCTGAAGCATTTGTTGCAGTCAGCACACTTGTGGGGCTTCTCCCCAGTGTGCAGACGCTGGTGGGCAATGAGGTTGGAGCTGTCACTGAAGCGCTTCCCACACTGGGGGCATTTGTAGGGCTTCTCGCCTGTGTGGAAGTTGGCGTGGCGGAGCAGGCCCGAGTTCTGATAGAAGTTCCTCCCACACTTGGCACACACATAAGGCCTCTCACCGGTGTGGTTGCGCTGGTGCTGCACCAGGTGAGTGCTCTGGCTGAAGCTCTTCCCGCAGTCCTTGCACTGGTACGGCCGCTCACCCGTGTGGACACGCTGGTGCTGGATGAGGTGGGAGCGGCGGCTGAAGCTCTTCCCGCAGTCAGCGCACACGTATGGCTTCTCCCCGGTGTGGATCCGCTGGTGGCGGATGAGGTCTGAGCTGCGGTTGAAGCTTTGCCCGCACTCAATGCAGATGTACGGTTTCTCTCCCATGAATGCTCTTTGGTGGACCACCGTATCCTTCCTCTTGCGGAAGCTGCAGTGAGGAGCCTTCTCTGGCCTTGTCTCCTCCGAGAGGAGGTCCGGACATGGACAGGCGATTCCTACGTTGTGGTCTGCAAGCAACGCTTCCCTCACAAAGAAGTCCGAGAGGCTCCCGCGGGCTTGGGCCGCAGCCGCACCACCTGGCTGCCGGCCGTGCTCCTCATGCTCACTCATGCTGCCATCACCTGCGGGCAGAGGGGGCAAGTCGAGACACAGGCTGGTGGCCGTCGCCCCGCTTTCGGCCTCCACAAC